AAACACAATGTCTTTACTTCTCCTTAATGTGACATTTATGTACTAGTTTCCTGTTGGGAATTATATATATTCAAAATTATTTTTAGTTACTTATGATAAATTAAATTCATTTAATCCTATCTAGATTTTTAATGTTAGAAATAAAAAAGATCAAGGTCATCCTCAATTCACATTAAAATAAATTGGCAAATATAAGAAGTTCATCCTGAAATATAGTGAGAAGTCATTATTTGAAATAAAAAAATTGAAAATAAGTACTGAAAAATTATATTACTATTTCCAGACAATAATAAAGTTACATAAAATTAGTATTTTGGATTTAAGAAACTACTCTTTGGATTTAATATATTCCCTGAAACTATTCACAGCAGATAAAAAATAATCATAGTGTGTTAGTATGTGTTTCCAATATTATTGATATCTCCTTCTAGACTTAATAGGCATTTACCTATTCATCCAAGAAATGTGTAATAATTATTATTTTGATACATGAAAAATAAAGCCCTTTGTAAACCAAAAGGAGTCTTTAATGTTATAAAAGAATAACTTATGATTTAATACTAGTGATTCAGAATACTAAAGTAGTAATGAAGCAAAGTAATTATCAGAAGATATTCTTGGGATTGGCAGTTGTTAATTGATATTTGTTGCAGTACCTGGTGCTAATTGGTATGCAACCATTTACAACTAAAATAGAGCTTGATGGGAAGAAAATATATGTGTACCTCTTTAATGAAACAGTATGAAAACCCATAAAAGAATAATCCGCAAACCCAAATACAAGGAGGGAGAGGGAAAAGGAGGAAAGTTATTTTTTGCTTCCCCTGAGCAAACATGTAATTTTCATGATTTCTTTTTAATGACTGCGGTCTGTGGCCAGTAGGTACTGATTTATGAAAAGCTGTAAAAGATCAGGTGGAACTCTGTAGGACATCGTTTACAGCTGCACAGATTGAAACCTATCTAATTTGTCTAGTAAAAGTGTGAGCTCACGGTGCACATCACCCAGCCTATAAATTTCCCCTTCAGACCCAATGTCTGGGGCTAGTTCTAAAAAAACGCCAATGCCTGCAGCTGCTCAAAAGGCCAGATTCCCTTGGTGCGCATGAAGAGACATCACAGGCTCTTCACAGTGAGACAAATTCCTATCCATTGATAAACTCTCCAGATGTCCTCTCGGAGGAGGAAAGAAACCAATTTTTATTTGAAATCCCCAGAGAAATCCTGGAAGTGGAAAAATGATACTTTGCAGGACTGGTTATTCTGAGGTCACTGGCATTAAAATTAGGTCATTTTTTTGTCTTGGTTGTACTTTGATCCAAGTCATAAACAGAAAAACTCAGTTGGGGTCACTCTAATCCCTAATCCACACGTCCTGTTCTATTTCAATTTCTTTATACTAATTTTCCCTAAACTCTTGTTGAGCCTGGCTAAAGTCTTGAGTTTAAAAGTACAAACTGTTTTGAACTGAGAAAAAACTATTTGCATTTTTCTATTAGGCACACTTCATAAATATTCTGAATAAATGTCCTGGGGTTTGATTCTTTATACCCACAAACCCATAAATAAAAAAGTATTACTATTCATGGGACTAAGAGTCAACATTAGGTTTTATGCTCCAGCTACTGTAGACTTAGAAACTGGTATGTGTGCATGTGTGTGTGTGTGTGTGTGTGTGTGTGTGTGTACCTGTAGATAGTATATTATTGTCCCATTTCTCCATGCACTTCATTTTTCTTATAACATTTTTTCACACCTGATTTAATGTGATTCCCATCAATTTTGTTTACTAATTCAATGACTTGTCCAATGAGTCCAATGTTATGTCTCATGCTTGCTAGTGATAAAGGCTATTTCACTAATGATAGCTGAGCTAAAACAACCCAAGAATATTGTATAAGTTTTGGAACCTGAATTGTAAATCTGTATCTATAATTTCTCAAGTTTTTAGAAAAAAAACAAAAACTATATATTTTCAATTATGAAAATAAACCTTGTTTTCTTTTTCAGATGAGTAATTTAAAGAATCATAGAAAATTATTTGTATATATGTTTCAGAGGAGAATAACTTATAAAATTTATATTTATATTTTATAGTTTTCTAGATATTACTGAAGAATATTATTTGTAAAATAGTGCCTAGTTTTTGTTTGCTTCTTTTTTAAAAAAAAACCTCTGAGAGTTAAAACTAAACTATATCATAAATATAAATTATAAACTCCATAATTTAAAGTTTTAACTTATAATTTAAATACTTGAAGTAGAAAGGTTTAAGCAGTTCAGTCTATTGGAAAGATTAAAAAGTCCTCTAGACTCAACTGTTCACTTCACGAATGATCATAACAGGAAGGAAACTAGCTATTGATCTCATGTTTTCCACCGAAGGTGCAAATTGAGGCAGAACCAAAATGTAATGTTGCTATTTTTTTCTTAAACTCAGCATTAAAATTACATTGAAATTCAATCATTTTTATCAAATACATTTAATAATGCAACCCATAAAAATTCAGAAGAATAGTCAATTTAAAAGCTTTTCATGTGCTCCAAGCAATTGCATGCATGTCTTGGGTATGATCCAAAATCGTCAAGGCTTAAGAAGCTTAACTTCACATTTAATCATGTCTCTTGTATATCAGGAGTGAGTTGGAGAAATATCACCAGCAGTCTTAGAAATCTCCCAATTAAAAATCCTTTTTAAGTGTGGATAGAGTTGGCAGATTTATGAATTTGCTTCACATATGGATTTTCTCATTTAGAACAGCTTTTACCACATATCCTAGATGATATTCAATGATTGCTATTAATAGGTAAAACACTATATAGTTCATTTAGTCTAGATAGCTTATTTTGTTGTTATTTCTATGGTATTTCTAATGATGTAATTGAAAGTAGCACCTTAGAGAGCTAAATTCATTTCTAAAATAGTAATAAATGCATGTCAATATATTCATTTGTTTGGGGGTCTTCTAACAACTAATTTTAAGTGTTGAATTTAAGCACTTCAAGTGATAAATTTCATTTAGGCAAATTATTAATTTTAAGTACATAAGAAAAATACAAAGTCCTCATATTAAAACCCATAATATCAGGGATTTTAAAAATAATAATTCTAAAAAGTTTTAAGAGATCAGCACAGATTAAGTCCAACTGCAATATCACAATACATGAAAGATTCTAAATGATAACTTTGGAGAGGTAAAAATTAAAATGTACCTTCTCAATTATACAATAAATATTAGGTTATGATATATACAGTTGTATTAATGTTCATGATATATTTTATTACAACGAAAATAGAAATGACAGAAAGCAGAACAGCACATCTATTTACAAGCATTGACTGTGGAATCATTGTGTGTAAAAGTTACCGACTATTGTAATAAGGTCCCTAATAATACCTACTGTACAGGGTTCTTGCACTATTATAAACATCACATTATACAGGACTAAAAGTCTAGTTACTCAAAATGGTAATTAACAAGATCATTTCACTTCCAGCATTTTATATAAACTAGTATTTACTATGTTATTTTCTTTCTGAAGTTTCACCCATTTCATCAAATGTGTTACCTTATGTCAGAATAATGAATAGCCAACAGATGGTGCTTATTATATGCTAGCACTGCTCTAAGTGCAACCTACATATGCTCGTTTAATCTCCATTTGTGTGAAATCTGTATCATTACCATTATCCCCATTACATAGATGAAGAAACAGGCAAGATAAGAAAATGCTCAAGGGCATACAGATAGTATGTGGTACATCCAAGATTCAACCCAGGCTTGATGGTTCCAGTATCTGTGCACTAAACCACTACATTTCACGGCATATAGAAATCAAAGAGGCTGCATCATAGAACTATAAATAACTTGAGAGAAAACAGGTGAAATGCAGTGTGAATGAAGTTTCACCTAAATAGTATTACATAGTGGTCAAGAGTGTGGGCTGTGGTGTAATATAACGTGTCTAAATTCCACCTGTGCCGCTTTTGCCAGTGGCAACTCAGATTTGTAACTTAATCTTGTTTAGTTTCAGCTTCCGTATCTATTATAATGGAATAGCATGGTGCCTGACTAGCGCTGCAAAGACTAAGGTCCTTCATGTCTGTGTGATATGTTTAGCATAGTGCCTAGCACATTACGAGTTCTCATAAATGTTGAATATAATCCAAAAACAAGAGCCTTAATAATTTATTCCTTCATAACTTATTTATATTATGATTATTCATCCCAAAACAACAAGGGCCTTCATGAGAACTTTGTGCTCAGGCTTCCTTCCTTAAGAGAAAAGAATACAGAAAAAGAGAGGTCAACAAATTGTCTACCTAGTGACTGGTCCCAGTCTTATGAGTCAAATGAGTCAAAGGACAATTAAAGAGGTCACAGAGAGCTGAAAAAACCACCCCAAAGGCAGTTCACAAACAGACTGCTGCTTTTGCCTCTTCGGGGATGCAAGCATAGTCTTCTCCAATTCCTGTATGTCTCTTCTGTTCCTTTAGTTCACCAGTTCTCACGGGTGGTCATCGATCTACAATTAGGCCCATAGCATTGTACAACAATCTGTACAATGTCTGCAAACAAACATCCAGCAGACAGGATTTAATATTGAAACTGAATCCATCACCAAAGCAGATAGCAAAGTATTCAGTATATTGTGTCTACTATAACTGTATCCTAAATTACCACCATCTTTGCTAATGATTAAACAAATTACATTGTAAGAAAGTGTGTGTGGATATATTGATGCCTTTCACTGGTCAAGTTTTAATGATTTCAAAAGCAGTCATTAGCGGAGAAAGAGAACACAAAGAATGATGACACAGTCTTCCTCCAAGCTGCCAGCCTGAACAGATGAAGCCTTCATGGCAGATAAATTCCACAAATAAACAGGAACACCGCATGAAGTCTGGAAGTTCCTGCTGATGTTGGTGTCAAATTTCGACACATAGCAACTCTACTGACTCCTGATCTCTCTCCATTTGGTGTTTTCTTTTTTTTCAGGCCATCAAACCTTCTTTTGGACCAAAGCAATGTCGACATCACTACCTTCCGCACAAGTGACTGGCTTAATGGTGTCCGGACAGCACGCTGCAAGGAAATCTTCACGGGTGTGGAGTATAGTTCCTGTGACACCATAGCCAAGATTTCCACAGAGTAAGAAAAACATTTTATTAAGAAGAATGAATGATTCTTCTGAACTTTCTACTGGATTAGTGTGTCATAATCAGTCACCGGAGAATAAAAGATTAGATGTCAAAAAGGAATGTGCAGTATAATTAATAGAAGTACAAGTGCCTAACAAATAAATAAGTTTATAATTTATGGTATAACACTACAATCAGAAACATATAAAACTAAAAAAGGACCTACAGAAAGGGTTTATTACTACTAAAGAGGAGAGCTTGTTCTCAGAAAATAAACTCACTCTAGTCTATTTAACATGTGTTAGCATTCCTATTTAAAGCAGAACATAGTGTTTATTGAATAAACTTTTGACCCAATTGACAATATACTTTGAGTTTCTATGGTAATTATTTTGATTAGACACAGTCTTAAGATATATTTGTGTATTTAAATATTTTTATAAATTCATACTGTAGTAATATAAGCAGTTGGGGTTATGATATACAAGACACCTGCTTTAGAGCACAGAAGCATAGAAAAGAACATACACAAAACTGAACAATTCCACATCATTGCCAGATTTTCAAAACCAAAATTATGCAAATGTTTATTCTCCATAAAATATCAACACTCAGAGCTCTTAGATAATGAAACACTATATGAAAGTGGATGAGGCAGAACACTGTTAATAAGATTAACTGCTAGTTCACAATTTTAATATAGTCAGCCATTGTAATCTGTGAATGTGATAAGAAAGCTATTTGCTTAGAAAAGGTGAAATGGAAGCATTTGTTATAGTTAGTTCCAAGTTAACACAAGATTATTTGTGTCAACAATACAGTGTTGCATATTAAACACTTTTTTGGCTGGTTAGAATATTTTCACTTATTATTATTATTATTTGAATGTTCTGTGAATATATATTCAAGATGAAAGCTGATTTTTCATGAGACTTGGCTCTTTCAGGTTTGTCCTTCATGCTGAGCCAGATGGTCTTAGATGTCTCCGTATTTCACTTTCCACAATGTCCTTTCTCCTCAATTCAGGGACAATGTAGGATAATCTATGGCCTTAAAAAACCTTGAAAATATATTTTTTTTCTTTGAGTCTCTGCGGGACCCTATAATGCTTGTCCCTAGCTTATATGACAAAAATGAGAACGTATACATCTTTAATACACTAATAATTTTGGTAGGTCCGGGGCACCATTTCACCTTAAATGCTATAAAATATTTAACTAGCTGTTTTATCTTTCCTTTTGCAGTCTTGGGCTTATTGTTTGAATTTGATTGCTTTCAATCTCTATTTTCTTTGTGCCATCCAGATCCAGACTCAATTTAGAAGTGATTTGCTTGACCAAATAACTCCAGAGATTCTCCTAGCATAGATACAGATACCTAAGATGGCTATTGAATTTATTTTTCTATATAGACTTTCAAGTCATAGGAAAAGGTCAATAGAGTTTCATTTAAGTATTTAGTTGACACGGAGGCTGCTCAAGTCATCTAATTTTCAAATGAAAACCAGAAAATATGCAGTTTTATTCAATAAACATATTTTTAAAATATTTTTCATAGCTTAAGATGGACTTAGGAAGTTTAAAGTGAGAAAGAAATAGAGAAAGGTAAAAGCCACAGTGTCTGTGGCTATAGAAACTGGAGAGAGAATTAAGTGTGTGGAAAGAATATTAAGTAGATTAATTGCTACATGTCATTATCTTGCACCCTTGGGTGCCATTTTCAAAGTGTCATCACCTATTACTTTGCCTTTGAAGTACCAGATAACACATTAACCTCTGGTCTCAATATTGAGCTGCTCTTTAGTCTTGAACTTTTCTGCAACTCTTTAAATAGGATTGTCAAAATGAAATGAGCACAATGGGAGTGTTATGGAGACTGCAGCAGCTGGTGTTGAGAACTATTTTGGACATGCCAGGGTGGTGGGTAGAAGAAATTTTGGCAGGAGCAGAGAGAGTAGAGAGGAGGTTCATAAAAACCCCAGCTAAGGGTTAACCCAAAAGAATAATTACTTTAATTTTCTTTTCCAAATTTCAGTATAATCCTTTCCATTAAGTATAAACAATATTATATATCTGTTTGCTTATATTGGATTCCCAGACACAGAATCTGGGATGGTTTTGTGCAGAAGATTTTTTGAGAAATAATAATGAGGAATGTCCCGAATTGGCCTGTGAACTCTCAGCTTCTGACTTTTTTTCCAGCTACTTGGGGATGAATGCTTCAGTTCAGAAGGGAAGATCAGGGCCAAGTATCATGGCATGTATTACTCAGACACTATGCTTTCATTTCTCAAAGATCTGAGGAAATTAGCATATTACATTGGAACATTTTTCTGCTTTCCAAGACTATCGTTTTATTATTTAAGTTTGTAAAGAACAGGAAAAGAAAGAGACAGAAAACAATCAGTGAGTTCATGAAAAATATGATGTAGAATTGGAAGAAGGATGAAAGAAGAAATACAAAAAGAGTGAGGATGTATTGATTTGTACACCTGTAATTGTATCTTTCCTGTTTTCTGTCTGGATTCATAACCTGACTTTGTTATAGTTTGGGGAGGAGTGGGAAAATGTGTGTTCTTCATTTTAAAGATAGATTCATGGTACATAAAGAATCAAAATTTCATAATGCACATTCTCAAGAGCAAAGATGAAATAAATAGTATATGTTATTCTAAGTGAAGGCTTTCTTTATCCACAGTTAACGCTAAGAGTGACAAGCCTAATATTACCACACTTTTCCACTAGCCTTCCTTGCAAAGAGAAGGCAACTGAAGAGTGTAGTCTGAGAGGATCCCAGGCAAGATACAAGCTTTCCATAGAAAATGTATCAGCCCTTTGCATCAGCAGGTCATCAGGAACTTCATTCCCAGCCCAGATGATAGGAATGCAGTATAGACTTGGTTAATTTCATGCAGCTGATGCTTAAATAACATGTACATGTATGGCTGCACACCAAGTGCCACACAACTTAAAGGCTAAAACAACAACAGTTTTATTACACATCAGCGTTGTTGGTTATGAATTTGGGCAGAGCTCAGATGGGTGATTCTTTGTGCTTTAGTGTTGATGCTGATTGAAGCATTCAGCTGACAAATGGTTTGATCTGTTCTGGAGGTCTGGAGAGGCTTTCATTCAGATGTCTGCCTTGGTGCAGTGGCTACACAGCTGGTTTTAGCTGGGATTGTAGAACAACATGTTTATACATGAGCTCTCCAATGTTGTAGTCTCAGAGTAGCCAGACTTCTTATATGGAAGCTCTGGAGTGCCAGAGAGGATGTCTCAAGAGACAAGATGTGGTAGCTGGCAATTTCTTCAGACCTGAGTGCAAAAACTGATACAATGCCACTTCTGACTTTCTCTGTTAGTCAAAGCAGTCCCTAACAGGCCCAAGTTCAAAGAAAGGGGATAAAGCTCCACAAAGAATGTGTGAACATCTGTATTTGTTTCCTAGGGCTGCCATAACAAATTATCACAAATTTATTGGTTTAAACAACAGAAGTTTATTATTGTACAATTCTGGAGGCTAGAAGTCTAAAATCACGATGTTGGAAGAAACACTCCTACTCCAAAGTCTCTAGGAGTGAATATTTCCTTGTCTTTTCCAGCTTCTGGTGGATCCTGGTGTTCTTTGGCTTGTGGCAACATAACTCCAATCTCTGCCTCCATTTTTCTGTAGCCTTCTTCTCTGTGTTGCTGTGTATTATTTTCTTTTATAAGGAAACTCTTAGTGAACATACAGTATCCACCTTAATCCAGTATGATATCATCTCAATCCTTGCCTTAATTGTATCCACAAAGACCCTGTTTCTAAATAGTTGCATTGTAAGGTTCCAGGTGAACAGAAATTTTGAGAGGACACTATTCAACCCACTGCATCATTTATATTCTTCTGCAAGTCAGAGATGGAATAGTCAGGACTTAACACATGGATAATGCAGAAGTCATAAAAATTAGGTCCACAGTACTGGAATATATCATTGTGCAGGTTTTTTTAAAATTGAAATTCTCCTACTTATATACCATCCAGGAAATTGTGATTCTCATTAGATATTTTCTCACTTTTTACAGTGACATGAAAAAGGTTGGTGTCACCGTGGTTGGACCACAGAAGAAGATCATCAGTAGTATTAAAGCTGTAGAAACACAATCAAAGAATGGTCCAGTTCCAGTGTAAAGTACCACTTCTGGAAGGAAGTGGTTGCAGTGGAAGATGGAGCATCCCTCTGGAGACAGATGATAATGCTGGCGATACCGGTGGAAGTTGCAAGTCCAATAAGACACTCAGATATGAGTACAAATGCCTTAACGTGGAATTGAAAAACTCTTTATTTTCTCCTATCATTTAGTAGATGGGTGGGTGGGTGTATTTTGTTTTATAATTGCTTTTTTCAACATTAGTTGATGGATTAAATTAAAATTCTTCAGCGCGAAATGGTGAAGAGCTGTCATAGAGCCATTGATCACAAACTATCATAAAAACAAAACAAGTGGAATAACAATATGGACATGGTGGCTTTGTTTACAAATAGCCACAAAAGATAAGACTTGTGATATTTTTATACAAAGAAGAAATCTGTAACAGGTATTTTGTTTCTTTAAAGGCTGACAAATGGTTTGTCAAACAAAATAGAGGAATTTATACCTCAAACTATCTGGCCATATTTACTACCTTGTCATTGTATTATTCTCTTTTATCTGTTTAAAACACATAGAGATGAAGTTTGTAGTTGTTTTAAGTAATACATTTTTTAATTATTAGCTTCCTTAAGTGTATCATGTAAAAAAAAGTCCTAATTTTTGAAAAAAGTACATATTTATTTTCTTTTGATTTTTTTTTATATTTATGCCTTGATGATTTAATTTGGATTTGTTAAAGCCAAGTGCCAAATGCTCTCTCAAATTGTCAGCAGCAGGAAGCATGTTTAACTAGACACAGAGAACAATGGGTTTCCTTCCAGATTTTTTGAACCATCCACTTAAATGTATTTTAAAAAAATGAAATCTTCTCCATGTTCATACACTAATCAAATCTCTCATAGTCTGAATTATCCCATCTATTTTTGGCTCTCTGTTTAGTATAAACTATATACTCCTGATTCAATGTAATATACTGGCTCGTATGTAATGGATTTTCATCCAAATGACGTTTACCTTTCCTGCTCTGGTGCTTAGAGACCATCAACCCCCTCCATTGGTGAAGGAGCCATGCTAGAGTTTCTGAGGATAGCTATATTCGAAAGATTTGGAATCCTATTTAAATTGCTGCATTAATTGGCCACACAGCCTATAGGCCAGTGCATGAGTCAAAAAATCACTCTCTCTGGGAGTCACTTAATATTTTTGCTTAAACTAGCTCAGCTGTTCATAAGAAATGATTATGACTAAACTACTCATCTGCATCACTGGGGTTTTGGTCAATTAATTAAATATTGTGATGATGTATACCAGGTATTATTATCTTTAAGAGTCTTCCACTTTAATGCACCTGTTATAATTTTGGTATTTAACTTAGAAGCATAGAACTTCTTTGAATTTACTAAACATATCACTTTTGAAATAGCTAGTCATCTAGTAAATGCCTCAAAATCTGTAGGCGGTGCAGAGATGTCTCATTGCAGGAACTAAGACTTACTTACTATTACATAAAGGCCAATTATGAGCATGTTCATCAGTATTTGAAAGAATGTACCTGATGGAAATCTAGCTACTAATATATTCTGAAGCAACATTTTAGCCCTATCTATACTCTTTCTAATGCTGATATGATTATGTCATGGGTATAAGTAATGTATATGTCACAAGAATAGAATGGATCAAACAGTGCTGCAAAGTTGATGTTCTTATGCAAAATGGAACACTGATAAAATACAGCTTACAATCCCAGATAAAAATTCACAAGTGCTATCTGTTGTAAGTTTAGGGTAATAAAGCTTAGATTGTGTTCTTTCAGATATGAAATTGTTTCCCAAATTTTGATGATATTTCTTAGAGTTAAATCATGCTACTAGAATTCTGTATTGGATAGTATAATAGCATGAACTCTTTAAAAAGCTATGAGTGATTATGAAATTAATCACAAATTTTACTTAAGCCTGCTAGAAGTGGATAGAAACATTTTTTAATCAAATAACTTGTTTTGGAATATTAGAGTGAGATTCAAATCTGGCTTCAATCTCATTTTTTTTCCAGACTAACTCTTACATTAGATACTATTCTGAGCATACTCAACAAAAATCTGTGCATTTCATAAACTAACAGAAGTTGAGGATTGTTGACTCTATTTCACTTATTTTGGCCGTGGTTTCCATGTGAAAGTAGAAGTTACAAACACAGTTTGTTGCTCTTCATTTTTCTTGATATTTTTCTACCTGATCTCTTCTAAATTTACATTACACAACTCTCACTCTGTACATATGTAAACATAAGTGTACGATTCTTAACTGTGGAGTAGAGGTACTAGAATGCTTATGGCCATCTCTTTGTACATGAATTTCATTGACTTTCAATAAACATGAAACCACAGCTCTTTTACAATACTACGTACCATATTATCTGTTTTGTATGTTAAATTTGATTTACATGTATTATTTATTTTTGGTAACTCAGTTTATGCTGTGCTAAGTATCAATTAAGCAATGTATAAATGTTATATGATTGGCAATATGTGTTTACTTTAAACTTATCTTTTCAAAATATTACTCATTTAGTTTATGTTGTACAATGTAGATGGCCTCTTACTAATGTAAAATGATTTGTAGTGGAAACATTTATATTTTTATAATAAACATAATGAAAATATTTTTACAGATTGGAATACAGAAGTGGTCTTTGAAGGTTTTTTAAAAGATATAAAAGTATGTCCTTATTTAAACAGCAAAACTATGAAATTTATATGTCACCAAAAAAATGTGCTTCTGGGTTTTTTTTTCTGTGTTAGTGAGGAATGATTCGTGTTATGTAATCCACATTTGGGGGGGGGGTACAAATTTCATTATCAAAAGTTAGAAAAATAATCAATAAGTATTATCTTCAAAATTAGTAAACTCGACTGTATTAGGTAGGTCTCTTGATTACAAGTGATGAAATTCAAATAAATTAGCTTAAGGAAAAAAAGAAAATTTTAGCTCATTTGACTGAAAATTCTGAGAGATCAGGCACAGATGGAATGAGGAGTTAAAGACATCAGGTTAAGTGTCTCATTCTATGTCTTCTTCCCTTGACCCTATTTTTCTTCCAACTGTGCTGATTTGCAAGCCATTATCTTTTCACAAGGTGAAAATACATCTCTAGTTAATATAATCCTGCACTGCAATTCCTGTGAAATAATTACTGTTTCTCAATTGTTCACTCCGAAATTGTGTGACCTTGCTTGGGTCACAAGCCCTATCACTTTGGACCAGGGGATGGATTACATTGTAAGCAAGTACTCAGTCTTGTGCTTGCCCTGGTGACAGTGAGAGGGGTTCTGTGGAAGTGATGCTCTGCAGGGATTAGAGGTGTCAGAGTAGTTCATGTCCAGAGGAAAATCCGAGCATTGACAAAAGAAGAAAGGCATGTTGGACAGGCAAAATAAAACAAATAAAAATAAAAAATAAACAACTAAAACTGCAAACCACATGCTAAAACACACTTGATACTTTGTATAAACTTCGTCCTTTGTCATTTGCACACCACTTAAAGAAAATGATTACACATAAAAATAAAAAAGTGAACTCACAATATAGGCAAAGTATCATCAAAATTCCCATAGACATGGAAGTGGTTAGAGAGACCAGAAAACAGGTCAGACTGACTTTGACTTGAAGGAGACCCAGAAACCAATAATGCTGAGTGGAGTAGAGAAGAACTGGTAAGCAGGAGATGAGCTAAGTAAAAGGGCAGAGGGAAAGAAGAATATATTTTTCCATTCATAAATCTGTAGTAAGCACTACGATAAGCTGGGTGTTTTGCTATTACCATTTACAATTTACCTCATTAAATCTTTTCTTTTTTTTCAAAATTGAAACATAATTGGTTTTAGGTATTTGTGGGCTACAGAGTTGAATATCAATAACTGTGCACTATGCGCTGCTCAAGTCAGGATAATTGGTAAATTCAACATTACAAAATGCAATCATTCTTTGTGTCTATTAGCCAATTTCTCACTAACCCCCCTGCCCTCCTTTCCCACCTCTAGTAACCTCAGTTCCATTCTCTCCTTTGAAAGTTCAATGTATTTTTTGTGATTGTTGTAGCTTTCTTTTTTATTTATTTGCTCATTTTTTAGCTCCCACTTATGTGTGAAGATATGTGGCATTTCTCTTTCAGCCTGAAATAATTTACTTAACATAATTTTCTCCAAGCTCATGCATGTTGCTGCAAATGGCAGAATTTCATTCTTCTTTATGGCTGGGTAGTATTCCATTGTGTATATATAAAGCATTTTCCTTATCCAGTTGTCCAGTGATGGACATTTAGGATGATTCCAACTCTTGGTTATCATAAATATACCTACAATAAACATGGGAGTGCAGGTAATCCTTTGACATGATGATTTCCATTCCTTTAGGTATATACCCAGAAATGGGATTGCTGGATTATATGGCAGTTCTATCTGTCATTTGAGAAACCTTCATACTGTTTCCCATAATGGCTGTACTAATTTACAGTCCCACCAACAGTGTAAGAGTGTTCCCCTTACTCTGCATCCTCGCCAGCATTTGTTATTCTGTCTTTTTTATAATAACCAGTCTAACTGGGGTGAGACGATATCTCAGATTGTTTTTTAATTATATTTCCCTGATGCTTAGTGATATTGAACATTTCTTCATGTGTCTATTAGCCAATTTTTCTGTCTTCCTTTGAGAAATTTCTATTCAGCTCCTTTGCCCATTTTTTAATCAGGTTACTTGTTTTTCACTAAGTTGTTTGAATTTGTTGTATATTCTGGATATTAATCACTTGTCATATGCATAATTTTTAAATACTTTATCCTACTCAGTAAGTTTTCTTTCCATTCTTTTGATTGTTTGCTGTGCAGAAGCTTTTTACTTTGATATAATCATATTTGTTTATTTTTTCTTTTGTTGCCCATGCTTTTGGGATCTTATTCATAATGTCTTTGCCCAGTTCTACATCCTGAAGTATTTCTGTTATGTTTTCTTTTAGGAGTTTTATAGTTTCAGGTTTCATATTTAAGTCTTTAATCTATTCTCAGTGGATTTTAGTATATGGCAAGTACAGTTCTAATTTCATTCTTTTACACATGGATGTCCAGTATTCCTGCACCATTTGTTGGGGAGGCTGTCCTTTCCCCAATGTATGTTCTTGTCAAAGATCAGTTGGCTGTAAGTACATGGATTGATTTCTGGGTTGTCTATTCTGTTCCATTGATCCGTATGTCTATTTTTATCCCAGTACCATGCTGTTTTGATTACTGTAGCTTTGCAGTATAATTCAAAGTCAAGTAGCATAATGACTCTGGCTTAACATTTTTTGCTCAGAATTGTTTTGTCTATTTGGAGTTGTTTGTTGTTGGATATGAATGTTAGGATTGCTTTTTCTATTTCTGTGAAAAATCTCACTGGTATTTTGATGGGAATTGCATTGAATCTGTAGATCACTTGGGTAGTCTGGACATTTTCACAATGTTAATTTTTCCAATCCATGAGCATGGAATGACCTTCCTTATTTTTGTGTCTTTAAGTTCTTTCAGCAGTGATTTTTAGTTCTTGAAGAGATCTTTAACCTCATTAACTAAATTTATTCTTAGTTATTTTATTTTTTTGGCAACTATTGTAAATGGGTTTTCTTACTTGATTTCTTCTTCTACTAGTTCATTGTTGGAATATAAATACACTACTCATTTTTGTGTGTTGATTTTCTATACTGCAACTTTACTGAATTTGTTTATCAGCTTTAGGAGTTTTTTTGGTAGAGTCTTTAGGTTTTTCTATATATTGGTTTTTCTGTGTGTATATACATACATGTGTGTGTCATCTGTAATAGGGACAATTTGACTTTATCTTTTCCATTTTGCATGACCTTTATTCCTTTCTCTTGCCTGATTGCTCTGGCTAATACTTCCAGTATTATGTTAAATATGAGTGGTGAGAATGGGCCTCCTTGTTTTGTTCTTATTCTTAAAGGAAAGGCTCTCAGCTTTTTCCCATTCAAGATGATATTGGTAGTGGATTTGTCATATGTCTTTTACTGTGTTGAGATATTTTTTCTATATCTAATTTGATAAGAATCTTTATCATAAATGCATGTTGAATTTTGCAAAATGTTATTTCTGCTTTTATTGAGATAATCATATGATTTTTGGTTTTAGTCCTTGATTTTGTTGATGTGGTGTATAACATTTATTCACTGTATATGGTGAATCATCCTTGCATCCTTAGGATGGATCCCATTTGATCATGATGCATAATCTTTTTGATATGCTGCTGCATTCTGTTTGCTTATATTTTATTGAGGATTTTTACATCTGTTTACCAAAGATATTGACCTATAGTTTTCTTTTTTGTTGTATCTTTGTCTGATTTTGGTATCAGGGTGATCCTGGCCTCATAAAATGAGTTCGAATGAATGGTCTCTGTTTCAGTTTTTTGGAATGGGTTGAAGAAAATTAGTATTACTTCCTCTTTAAAGGTATGCTAGAATTTAGTAGTGAAGCCATTCAGTCCTTGGCCTTTCTTTGTTGGGAGACTGTTAATTACTGCTTCAATCTCATTACTTGCTCTTTGTTTGTTCAGGTTTTTTATTTCTTTTTGGTTCAGTCTTGATAGTTTGTATGTGTCCAGAAATTTATCCATTTCCTCCAGGTTGTCAAATTTTTTGACATACAATTGTTCATAATAGTCTCTGATGATTTTTTGTATTTCTGTGGTATTGATTATAATATCTACTTTTTCATTTCTGATTTTTGTTATTTGAGTCTTCCTTCTTTTTTTTTAGTTAGTCCAGCTAATGGTTTGTCTTTTTGTTTATATTCCTCCCCCCCAAAAAATAACTTTTTGTTTCATTGATCTTTTGTATAATTTCTTTGGTCTCTATTTCATTTACCTCTGTTTTGATCTCAAGTATTTCTTCAAGTCTACTAATTTGGGGATTGGATTGTTCTTGTTTTTCTAGTTCTTTGAGGTGTAATGTTAGGCTGTTTATTTGAAGTCTTTCTATTCTTTTGATATAAGCATTTGTTGCAATAAACTTCCCTCTTTGTACTGCTTTTGCAGTATCCCACAGGTTTTGGTATGATGTGTCTTTATTTTCATTAGTTTCAAGAAATTTTGGTTTCCTGTTTAATTTTTTCTTTGACTCATATGTTGTTCAGGAGAGTGCTGTTTAACTTCCATGTATTTGTATAGTTTCCAAAGTTTCACTTGCTATTGATTTCTAGTTTTAATCCATTGTGATCTGAAAAGATACTTGAAATGATTTCAATTTTTTTAAATTTGTTGAGTCTTGATTTGTGACCTAACATGTGGTCTCTCCTGCAGAATGTTCCATGTGCTTTGGAGAAGGAAGTATATTAGGTAGTCATTGGACAAAATGTTCTGTAGATGTCTGCCAAATACAATTGGTCAAAAGTGTAGTTTATATCAAGTGTTTCTCTGTTGACTTGTTGTGTAGATGCTCTGTCCAGTGTTAGAAGAGGGGTGTTGAGGTCTATGATAGCAGTAGGTTTCCTGCACAGTGGTGGTGGCTCTGGTGGCATTAAAGCCCTTACAGCATGGGCAGCTGCTGGGGCTGTGACAGGGAGCAGGACAAACTGCTATGAGGAAAGACTCATGATGGTTCTAGGGCTGGACAATGGTACTAGTGACAGTGGAG